TCCATTTACATTTAGGGTGATTATTGAAGGGAATGTACTTATTGCCATTGCAGGCTTTAAGTTTGTGGTTACCAAAGGTCCAGGGTTAGCTTCTTCACTATCTTATTGTCTAACTTAAGTTGCTTGTTGAGCTATTATAAACACAGTCTGATGATTCTTTATTTCTCTCCCTCCTTATTCCTCCTCCTCTCTTCTTCATATGTTGGGTATTTTGTTCTGTGCTCTTTTTTGGAGTGCTCCCATCTAGAGCAGTCCCTGTAAGATGCCCTGTAGAGGTGGTTTGTGGGAGGCAAATTCCCTCAACTTTTGCTTGTCTGGGAATTGTTTAATCCCTCCTTCATATTTAAATGATAATCGTGCTGGATATAGCAGTCTTGGTTCAAGGCCCTTCTGTTTCATTGCATTTAGTATATCATGCCATTCTCTTCTGGCCTGTAGGGTTTCTGTTGAGAAGTCTGATGATAGCCTGATGGGTTTTCCTTTGTAGGTGACCTTTTTTTTCTCTCTGCCTGCCTTTAATACTTTGTCCTTGTCTTTGATCTTTGCCATTTTAATTATTATGTGTCTTGGTGTTGCCCTCCTTGGATCCCTTGTCATGGGAGTTTTGTGTACGTCTGTGGTCTGAGAGGCCATTTCCTTCCCTTGTTTGTGGAAGTTTTCACCAATTATTTTTTCAAAGACACTTTCTATCCCGTTTTCTCTCTCCTTCTGTTACCCCTATAATGCAGGTATTGTTCCGTTTTGGTTGGTCACTCAGCTCTCTCAGAATTGTTTCATTCCTGGAGATCCTTGTATCTCTCTCTGCATTAGCTTCTCTGCGTTCCTCTTCTCTGTTTTCTAGTCCATTAGTGCTCTCTTGCATCTCGTCCATTCTGTTTTGATGTCCTTCCAGAGCTTGTTTTATTTCTGTATTCTCCTTCCTTAGTTCTTGCATATTTCTCTGCAAGTCCACCAGCATGGTTATGACTTTTGTTTTGAATTCTTTTTCAGAAAGTCTGGTTAAATCTATCTCCCCCGGTTCCTTCTCAGGGGAAGATGTAGCAGATGCCAAAGCTGTCTGGGTTAGTCTTCTCTGGATCAAATTTTTTTGCCTTTTCATGTTGATATGTGCTATTGACTGTCAGCTGGGAGAGCCAAACTTTCCACTTGCTACTGGCCTTTCTTTACTGGGGCATCCACGATCCCTAGTGGCTTGTGTTGGGCAATTGCGTGTAGACTGGGTCTTTGTGTCTTGCCTGGCCGGTATGGAGGAAGCTTCCTTGCCGAGGGCGTGAAAAGCCTTAGGCTGCTTCTCTGCTATGGCTGCACCCCGGAGAGGTAATGGACGGGGGGCTATTTGGTTGTTTACCTCTGTGAGGGGTCTCAGAGCTGTTGCCCAGGGGGTTAGTGCGCCCGGGTTTCCTTGGAATTTCCAGCTGCTGGACTGTGACCTGGGTTGTTTCCGTCCAGCTGTTGCATCCCTGTCCCTTTAAGACTTTCAAAAAGCACTCGCTTTTCTTTGTCACAGGGGCATCAGCTTCGGGACCCACTCAGAAGTCTTGCTGCCCTGTTTCCCTAGTTTCCAGCCCTCCATGCATGCACTGTGTCTGCGCTCTGGTGCTGATGGCTAGGGCTGGGTGTTTAGCAGTTCTGGGCTCCCTCTCCCTCCTGGCTCTGACTCCTCTCCTCCTGCCGGAACCTGGGGTGAGGGGCGCTTGGGTCCCGCCGGGCCAGGGCTTGTATCTTACCCCTTTCACCAGGCGTTGGGCTCTTGCACTTTTGGATGTAGTCTGGTTGTTGTCCTGTGTCTTCTGGTCTCTCTTTTAGGATTAGTTGTATTTGTTGGAGATTCCCACTGTCCCACTCACGCCGCCATCTTTGCTCTGCCCTCAATACTTCATTTCTTTTTATGGTGGATAATATTCCATTGTGTAGGTAGACCATATTTTATTTCTGAATTCACTCAATGAACATTTGGTTTGTTGCTACCTTTTGTCTCTTAGGAATAGTGCTGGTATGAATATTCACATATAAGTTTTTGTGTGGACATGTGTTTTCATAAATTTTGTGTATATAACCAGGAGTAGAATTGTTGGCTCACGTGGTAACTGTTTAGTTTTATGAGGTACTGCTAAGACTGTTTTTGAAAAGCTGCTGTACCACTTTACATTCCCACCAGCAGTAGATGAGAGTTCTGATTTCTCCACATGCTCACTGACAATTATCTGACTTGTGTGTGTGTGTGGTAAAGTATACATAACATAAATTTACCATTATCTACATTTTAAGTGTACAGTTTAGTACATTAAGTAAATTCACTTTGTTATGCCATTATTACCACTATCCATCTCCAGACCCTTTTCATATTTCTAAACTGAAACTGTATCCATTTAAGAATAACCTCCATCCCGTCGTAATTAGTGTTCTACTTCTCTTTCTCTATGAATAGTCAAATTCATATGAGGCATGAATGGAATCATACATCTTTGTTCAGTTGTCTCTGGCTTATTTCACTTAGCATAATATCCTTGAGGTTCATCCATGTTGTATTATGCATCAGTATTTCATTCATTTTTAAGGCTCAGTAATGTTCTGTGTATGTATGTATGTGCCACATTTTGTGTATTCATCTATCCTTCAATGGACATTTGGGTGTTTCCACCTTTCGGCTATTATGAATGATACTGTTATTAACATTGTTGTTCAGCTATCTGTTCTTACTTTTTATTATATATAATTTCCTTTTGATAGGTCTTTTTAAAAAATCAAATTTTGTTCTTTTAATTTGCATTGCTACTTCCCTTGTTTAGATTCTAGTCATCTTGGGTGTATACACTGTTTTGGTTATCTGGTCTACCAGGTCTCTTCTCTGTTTTCCTCTTAAATGTGTTATACAGAGATCAAGAAGATTTATCTTTCTAAGGTACTAAACTGAATCTGTGGTTCTGCAGTTTAAGTGAGGCTCCTCATTGCCAACAGGGTAATAGTCAAACTCTTACATGGCATCAGGCTCTTTTATGTCCAACCACTGTTTACCTCCTCAGTTTCCCTTTCTTTCCAGTTTATGATTTCAATTTCGTTTTGGAACTACTAGCTTCCAGCTGTTTCGTTTGTTTTATTCACTCATGCCGCTACAGGGTCTGGGACCTCATACTGGAATTCTCCCTGTAATAAACTGTTTACCTTTAAAAATTCTGCTCTGATGTTCCATTTGTCTTCCAGTTAATGATTTCCACTTTTTAGTGCTATTTTTAAAAGTGAATGTTTATGTTATCGTAATTATCATGCCCTTTTAATATAATTTGTCCATATATCTCTTAACGCACCCAGCCGATCTTTTCTGTCCTCTGATTGTGCCAGTGTATCTAAGTGTTAAAGTCTATGTTACCTGAGTGTTTTGGAGGATGCTTACTTCTCAAGTTGACCTTAAGAACCTCTATATAGGTACATATATATGTTATTAAATTTTCATCCTCCTTTATAAATAAATGGTTTCTGTTGAAGGATTTAATTTAGTAGGTACAGACTAAGGAGTTCAGTTTTTCACAGAACTGATTTTTAAAATGTACTTAAAAGCAGAAAAGTAAAGTTTGTAGTTTTATTGTTAAGCCATATTTTTATAGAAAAAACAGCCATTTCAGCTTAAGTGTATGAGAGTTCATAGGTACTTCTCATTTTTTAAATGAATAATTTTGAAATTACATTTATAAAGAGGCTGCCATTGAAGTGTATTTGATACTTTGGTTATTCTTGTAAATTCTGTGGAGACGAGTTTTGAAAGTATTCATAGCTCTTTATACTTACTCTAAAGCTCAGTTTTTAAATCTGTTCTCTCTTTTTTCATTCTGAAAGAAGAAGGCTTATAAAGATAACAAAATGAAAACAAACAAAAAAGGCTTTTCCAGTGTTTTTCAAAGAGATGTTTAGATTCTTTTTGTGTTTTGAAATAGGACATGGTTATTGTAGGGGCATTACATAAGATGATTTCCTTTCCTAAAATGAGACATTAAACTGGAAGCCCTCACTATGTATATATTTTATATATTAATTACTCTTGTGACGATTTTTGCTGGTATGAGAAACGTTAAAATACTAAGTGTATGGATGATTTACTAGATAAATTTAATTATCTTTTCTAAACGAGCTTTATATTGTTTGTATTTTTGGTAATTATATGCATAGAACTTTGAATAACCAAGATGCTGTTAGAATAATGGTATTTCTTTTGTTTTTATTGCTGTTGGGATTTCCTTTTTCTCTTACAAATTTTCATATTTTGGAGTATCAAGTTCCACTTTCTTTTGCACAGCCATTGTTGATTCTGCACCTGTCCTGTCTCATTGGGTTTCTATGTCTGTAAAATGGGGATCATATCACTTATTTCTTAGAGTTGGTTGTTGTGAAAAACCCATGCAGAGCACCTAGTGTAGTGAGTGCCTGGCACAGAGTAGCCATTCTGTAAGTGTCAGCACATCATATATGGCATGCTATTGAAGCATTTCTTCTTCCTTATATTTTAGCATAATGTTTTTTAGAATTGATGGTTAGTTGTTGTTACTGTGTTTTTGGAGCTGCAGCTTAGCAGATGCCCTTTGCATTTTCTGGTAACAAGGATATAAGACTTTACAGACTGATGACAAAAGGAACTTAATTGATTGCTATACTTGTTATATGATTAGTGAATCAGCCTCTAACTGGATTGAAATACATAGCGTATCGCCACATCAAACCATTGAGTCCTTTAATAAATTCTTAAAGCATTTTCTTGCCATGTGAATTAAATATTTAAGTTTTTCCTATTTTCTGACCTACCTCATAGTTTCTTATTCTGTAGAATGTTAGCTTGATTTCTGTTTCTTTCTTTCCCTCTCTTCTCCCTCCCTCCCTCCCTCCATCCATCCCTTCCTCCCTCTCTCTCTCTCTCTCTGTAAAGAAAGACTTCTTTGGCAATAGTACAGCTGTTCTTGATGATGAACAGCCACTTTTTAAAAGTAATGACACTGGTTCTTATCCTTATCTAGTTTCCAACCGGAGGCCCTATCGACAGTACTACGTGGAAGCTTTTGGAGACCCTTCTGAGAGAGCCTGGGTGGCTGGAAAAGCAATTGTCATGTTTGAAGGCAGGCATCAATTTGAAGAGCTACCTGTCCTTAGGAGAAGAGGGAAGCAGAAAGAAAAAGGATATAGACATAAGGTAAAAAAAAAAAACTTTCAAATTATCTTCTTGGATCTGGGCAGGGAGGAGGAAAGGGCTAAGTGTTACATTTTTGAAATACAAGTTACTTCTTTTGGTATAGTTGGATATTTGTGAGAAAATAGGTAGAAAGCAAGTTTTTTTGCAGGAGTGATAGGGCTAGCTTTCCAACTATTTATATTCAGTTTGAAAGATGATTTCAGCTACCTTTTGCCATGTCACTTATATGTGATAGTATAAAATGGCATTACCATTCTTCTTTGGTTATATTTTATAAAAGAAGAAAATGACCATCAAAATGAAATATTATAGTTCTCACTCTTCTGGATTGATTATTTCTCTCTAAAAAATAGAAGGCTTTACAAAATTGAAGGAAGAAAATAGCCGCAGACTCACAGACTCTTAAGAAGGGACTATTTGTTACCAAAGGGGAGGAGTGAGGGAGAGGGAGGGAGGGAGAAGGGGATTGAGGGGGTATCATGATTAGTGCACATGGTGTGGGGGGGGTCACGGGGAGAACAGTATGGCATAGAGGGGACAAGTAGGGATACTGTAGCATCTTACTACACTGATGGACAGGGGCTGCAGTGGGGTATGGCGGGGACTCGATAATCAGGGTAAATGTAGTAACTACACTGTTTTTCCTGTGAAATCTTCATAAGATTGTATATCAATGATACCTTAATAAAAAAAAAAGAAATACAAGGCTTTAAACATTTTTGTTTGAATTGTTATTTTTTTGTGTGTGTTATTAATGCTTAAGGTTGCAGTTTCACACCTGGTTGTGTTTTAATGAAGAACATGATGTATTTGTTTTGTTTGATATTTTGTGTTAAAGTTAGCTGAGTAAAGTTTTGGCTTATTTCTTATAATATTCCTTTATAGTCAGTTCTAGAAGGGGACGTAGTTTCTCTTAAATTGGTGTTTCATACTCTTCTGTGTACAATTATTTGTAGACTATTTAATAAAAGTGATAATTAGCATAATGTACAGTCAATATATAGTCTTTGTTATTTTTAACTAGAGTTCTCTGAGGATTAGTGTTTTCATCTCTAAAAGTAGTATAAAATGTACCTTGTAGAACTGTTGTGGGGATTATAAATAATTATAGATATTTAATGTGTTGTAAGATTGATGCTCCAAAAACAACTGATATGTGTTGTTAGGATGAAGGAGGCTAGCTGCATCCTTTCTAATACTTTGGGTGTTAGGCGGCAAAGAGGTGTCAAACCTTTAACTATGTAAGAATAACAAACCACGTTTTCAGAGAGGTTCACTATGTCTTTTCAGGTTCTAGAAAATTGGTTTACTCTGGTCACAGTAAGAGAGTTTGTGTGTGTGCATGTCTTTGTGTGTGTGTAAAATAAAACAGATGGTCAGTTTATTGCTTTTAAGAGGAGGCTACTTATCTGGTGACCTAAATTTGTACATGCTCAGCAGAACATCCCTTTCAGAAGTGTTGAAGTATTTGTGAACACTAACCAATGGTTAAAACCTTGAAAATAACTGATTGTGGAGCCAAGAAAGAAAATAAGAGTATAAAAAATCACGTGTGTTTCACAGCCTCAATGTTCTCCTGTTGTGAGGAATCAAGAAAAGAACGTATGTTATTTCTTTATTATATATGTAATTATACCCAGGGTGTTTTGGTGTCTCTGGTCTACATGATTAAGCCCAGGAGATTAGTTGGTTATAGTCCAGATTGCATATAACCTGTATAGAAGAATCTTAATTAACCAAGGACCTAGTGATACTCAGAGGTTCAAATTTCAGGTCTCCTGTCCTTGTTTTTCCATATTCATTTTCTTTAGCATTTTGCTTTCTCTTTTATGCAACTGAGCAAGTTCTTGGCTTTCATAAGTCAGGAAGAAAATACATCCCTATTTTAAGTTGTGGAGAGAGAAGTAGGAAAGGTCTGGTTATTTCTTGTTTAGTAACATAACTGTGATTAGTAATGTAATGTCCCAATTTACACTCCACTTTTTTGTGCTTATAAAGGCAGGTAGAGTGGAGGGTTTATGGGGTTTATATCTTCTCTAATGATAGATCTGAATGGTAGTGTTGTAGGTTAGTTAAACACTAGGTAAGCTGTGGGTGCTAACCATCTGACTGGTCCTATAAAAGGGCCTTGAAGAAGCACAAACAAGGCTTGGAAAAACTTCTGTTTTGAGAGGTATCTGATCATCTCCCTGTTTCCTCTCTCCTTTTTATGAGAAGTGATCATTTTTTCTCCTTTAAATTTAGGTTCCTCAGAAAATTTTGAGCAAATGGGAAGCCAGCGTTGGTCTTGCTGAACAGTATGATGTTCCCAAGGGATTGAAGAACCGAAAGTGTGTCACCAGTTCAATCAAGTTGGACAGTGAGGAGGATATGCCATTTGAGGACTGCACGAATGATCCTGAGTCCGAACATGACCTCTTACTTAATGGCTGCTTGAAATCTCTGGCTTTTGACTCTGAGCATTCTGCAGATGAGAAGGAAAAACCTTGTGCTAAGTCTCGAGCCAGAAAGAGCTCTGATAATCCAAAAAGGACTAGTATGAAAAAGGCCCACATGCAATTTGAAGCACATAAGGAAGAACGGAGGGGAAAGATTCCAGAGAACCTTGGCCTAAACTTCATTTCTGGGGATGTATCTGATACACAAGCCTCTAATGAACTCTCCAGGATAGCAAACAGTCTCACAGGGTCCAACACTGCCCCGGGAAGTTTCCTGTTTTCTTCTTGTGCAAAAAACACTGCAAAGAAAGAATTTGAGACTCCAAATTGTGACTCCTTACTGGGCTTGTCTGAGGGTGCCTTGATGTCAAAATGTTCTGGGGAGAAGAAGAAGCTCCAGCGAGGTCTGGTGTGCAGTTCAAAAGTGCAGCTCTGCTATATTGGAGCAGGTGATGAAGAAAAGCGAAGTGATTCCATTAGTATCTGTACCACTTCTGATGATGGAAGTAGTGATCTGGATCCCATAGATAATAGTTCAGAGTCTGATAACAGTGTCCTTGAAATTACAGATGCTTTTGATAGGACAGAGAACATGTTATCCATGCAGAAAAATGAAAACGTAAAGTATTCTAGGTTTCCTGCCACAAACACTAAGGTAAAAGCAAAGCAGAAGTCCCTTATTGCTAACTCACATATGGACCACTTAATGGATTGTCCTAAGACAGCAGAGCCTGGAACTGAGACATCTCAGGTTGCTCTCTCTGATCTTAAAGTGTCCACTCTTGTCCGCAAACCCCAGATAGATTTTAGAAATGATGTTCTCTCTCCAAAATTCAACACACCATCAAACATTTCCAGTGAGAACTCACTGAAAAAGGGTGGGGCTACAAATCAAACTCTGTTGCATTCGAAAAACAAACAGCCCAAGATCCGAAGTATAAAGTGCAAACATAAAGAAAATCCACTTGTAGTAGAACCTCCAGTTACAAATGAGGACTGTAGTTTGAAATGCTGCTCTTCTGATACCAAAGGCTCTCCTTTGGCCGGCATTTCCAAAAGTGGGAAAGTAGATGGTCTAAAACTACTGAGCAACATGCATGAGAAAACCAGGGATTCGAGTGACATAGAAACAGCAGTGGTGAAACACGTCCTGTCAGAATTGAAGGAACTCTCTTATAGATCCTTAAGTGAAGATGTCAGTGACTCTGGAACATCAAAGCCATCAAAACCATTACTTTTTTCTTCTGCTTCTGGTCAGAATCATATACCTATTGAACCAGACTACAAATTTAGTACATTGCTAATGATGTTGAAAGATATGCATGATAATAAGACCAAGGAGCAACGGTTAATGACTGCACAAAACTTGGTCTCCTATCGGAGTCCTGGTCTTGGGGACTGTTCTACCAGTAGTTCTGTAGGGGCTTCAAAGGTTTTGGTTTCAGGAGGCTCCACTCGTAATTCAGAAAAAAATGGAGATGGCTCAAAGGACCCAGTCCATCCTAACCCTAGTGGTGGTGACTCTGCACCATCTGGAGAGTTGCCTGCCTCCCTTCCTGGCTTAGTGTCCGACAGAAGAGACCTCTCTGCTTCTGGCAAAAGTCGTTCAAACTGTGTTACTAGGCGCAGCTGTGGGCGATCAAAGCCATCATCCAAATTGCGAGATGGTTTTTCAGCCCAGATGGGAAAGAACACAGTGAACCGTAAAGCCTTAAAGACAGAGCGTAAAAGGAAACTGAACCAGCTTTCAGCTGTGACTCTTGAGGCTGCACTGCAGGGAGACCGACAGAATGGAAGTTCTGAGAACAGCTTCTCAAGAGGTGGGGTGGAAGACGCTGGTAAAAAAGAACCCCTTCAATTAATGGGCCATTTAACAAGTGAAGATGGTGGCCATTTTTCGGATGTTCATTTTGATAGCAAAGTCAACCAGTCAGACCCTAGTAAAATTCATGAAAAAGGTCCCTCTTTTGAAAACAAAAAAGTCCCAGAACTGGATTCTGAAATGAATAGTGAGAATGATGAACCCAATGGCATAAATCAAGCAGTGCCTAAAAAGCGGTGGCAGCGTTTAAACCAAAGGCGCACTAAACCTCGTAAGCGCACTAACAGATTTAGAGAGAAAGAAAACTCTGAGGGTGCCTTTGGGATCTTGCTTCCTGCTGACTCTGTAAAGAAGGGGGGTGAGTTCTCAGAGCACAGACCCCCTCCTTCAGTGAACATACTGGAGGATGCACTGACAGACCCAAATCATGCCAGCCGCTTAGATCCAGTTGGGCCACAGTTGAAGGTTTGTGAAAAATCCAGTGCCAGCATTGAGGAAGTGGAAAAGGAGCCAGGGATTCCCACTTTGACTCCTCAGCCTGAGCTCCCCCAACCAGGTAAGGACTCCTGAACTCCTGACTGTGATAGGGATTAGAGAAAATGATGATAATGATGCCCTTCTAAAGTTGGTCTGTTTTAAGTGTATGGGAGGGGAGAATTACTGCTTGAAGTGGAGAAAGGACTTAACATAGAAGAGTCTGAATTTTGAGGACCAGGTTTCCATATACTTTGAGAAATGACGTTTTACCAGAAGCCTCTTGCTTAAGTCTGAAAAACATTGTTCCTGTTCCCCATTTCCTATCTTTTTAAATCTATGAACTTTTTGGATTCTGAGCCTAAGATTTGAATCCAGTTGTTAGTTTACAGAAAGCAAATAGATTTTATTGAATGTTGGCTTCCTTTGACCACAACTGAAGGAAGGTGCACCTGTTATGTAGACAAAAAGGATATACGTTTTTGAAAACATGGAAGTGTTCTGTAGCACTGATTTGAAGTCTTTAGATGTCTTATTCCCTTTTGGAATGAAGTTTGAGAACACTGAAGTAACTAGGGTGTTCTGCTTTATGAGCAGAGGGAAAACAGATGTTTTTCAAGATACTAATATTATACAGTGTAGTTCTTGATAAAAATTATGAACTCAGGTTTTGTTTATTTTAGAAAGTCTGCTTCACCTTCACTTTTGAAGAAAAATTATGTTGGATATAGTATTCTGGTTGGCAGTTTTTGTTTTTTTTTTAAGTACTTTGAATATATCATACCATCCTCTTTGGGCCTATAAGGTTTCTGCTGAGAAACCTGCTGATGATCTAATGTGAGCACCCTTTTCCTTGACAAGTTGTTTTTCTTACTGCTTTCAAGATTGTTTTTGTCTTTCGACAGTTTATGTTTCTTGGTGTGGGCTCCTTAGGGTTCATTCTGGTTGAAGATCTTGAACTTCTGAATTTGGATGTCCAATCCCTTTCCCAGATTTGGGAAGTTTTGGCCATTTATTTATTCAAATAAGCTGTTTGTGCCTTTTTCTCTCCTTCTTTGGGAACTCTCATCATGTGCATATTAATCTGCTTAATGGTATCCATAAGTCTCATCTTTCTTTTCTTGATTCTATTTTCTTTTGGCTCCTATGACTTGGTAGTTTCAAATGACTTATCTTTGAGTTTGCTGTTTCTAACTGCGGTTGAAACTCCCTAGTGAACTTTTCGATTCAGTTATTGTATTCTTTAGCTTCAGAACTTGTTTGATTCTTCTTTATGGTTTCTGTCTCTTTGTTGATGTTCTTATTTGTTCATGTTAACATTGTCCTGATTTCTTTTAGTTATCTGTGTTTCCTTGTAGATTGTTGAGCTTCTTTAGGATAATTATTATGAATTCTTTGCCTGATAATTTTTATATATCTCTGTTAGTTTGTGGTTGGTTTCTGAAGATTAATTTTGATCCTTTGGGCCATGTGTCCCTATTCATGTACTTCTTAATTTTTTCCCCGAGTTTTATGCATTTGAATAAGTAACCATTTCTCCCAGTTTTTATGGACTGGCATCATGCAGGGGAAGACTCACTAGTCAGCTCGGCTAAAGAGTCTGGGGACCTGTGGAACCCTTTTTGGAGGATGGGCTTCTTTGGGCTTGTGTGTCCAATTTCCTAATTAGAGCAGTTTATTCTTTTTTAGAGGTTTGTGATCTCTTGCTCCCTCTCCTGTTTTTCTGTGGTCCTGCAGGTTCACTGATGCTTCTGCAAACAAGCTTTCTCACTTTTTCTTAGTGTGGCCCCCAGGTGTTCAAAGCATGCTGGTTCACCGTCATCTCCCAAGAACCAGAAAAGACAGATACTAGTCCCTTGGGCAGTTCTCAAAAAATCTGAATTGCTGAGTGCTCGGTCCACTCTATATCCTTCCTATGTAGAGAAAAGCCAACAGTTTAGTGACTTCTGAGCTGGTCTCTGTCTCATTGCAGGTCTTCTGGTTCCAGTATGCTACTCAATCTCTCCCTTGTTTTCAGCACCTGGAAGCCTGTGTGTTCTGTTAGTGCTCCCAGTTGGGTTATACAGAAACTGCTCCCTCAAGTAAACCTATGAAAAGCTAGAATGTTGGACAAATGCTTCATCCCCCGGGAACTCAGCTGCCATTCTTTGGGAGTGGTGCTGTCACATAAAGAGAATGGGCTCTTTTGACCCCTGTCAATGCTATTACTGGCTTTGTACTTGCTTGGTGTATTGCATCTTCTTAACTGTTTCTAGAGTACTCATGAAGGTATTTTAGTGGATATGTTTTTGTTAATTTGATGTCTCTGTGAGGGAAATAGTATGGGCCCTTCCTGTTCTGTCATCTTGGTGTTTTCACTCTTGTTTCAGGTCTTTGTAATGCCAGTTATATTCCACTGTATGATAAATTATATCTTATTTATTCTTTCATCAGTTGATAGACATTGGGTTATTTTCACTTTTTGGCCTTATGAATAATGTGCTGACACTTGTGTGTGATGTTTTATATGGATATGTTTCCATTTCTACTGGGTATATACCTCGGAGTAGAAATGCTGGATCATTTGGAAGTGACATCTATAACTTCTGAGGAACTATTTTGCAAAGGTGTTTTACCATTTTACATTTCCTCTAGCAGTGTTTGAGGGTTCCAGTTTCTCTACCTTAGGCACACCTATTTGATATAGCTGTCCTATTTGGTGTCAGGTGGTATCTTCTTACTGTGGTTTTGATTTTCATTTCCCTGATGGCTAATGGTGTTGAGCATCTTCTCATGTATTTAGTTGTCAGTTGTAAATATTCTTTGGAGAAATGTGTGTCTAGATCCTTTGCCTATTTTTTAATTAGGCTATTTGTCTTTTTACTACTGAATTGTAAGTATTCTTTATGTGGTGTAGATATAAGTCCATTATTAGGTATAATTTGCAAATACTTCTTCATTTTGTGTGTTTTCCTTTTACATTCTGGATTGTATATTTTGAAGCACATTTTCAATTTTGATGAAGTCTAGTTTGTTTAGCTGCTTGTGCTTTTGGTGTCATATCTAGGTAACCATTGCCTAATTCAGTTGTCTGAGCACCATTTGTGGAAAAGGCTATTTTTTCCCCATTGATTTGTCTTGACACTCTAGTTGAAAATCATTTGTCTATAAATGTGATGGTTATTTCTGGGCTCTCAAATTCCTTTCTTTTGATTGATTTGTCTACCTTTATGTCAGTATAACAAACTGTCTTTGTAGTAATTAGTTATTGGAGCTTTAGAAAGCTTGAGTCCTCCAGTTTTGTCCTTTTTCAAGATTGTTTTGGCTCTTCTGGATCTCTTTGCATTTCTATATTAATTTTAGGACCAGCTTGTCAATTTCTGCAAAAAAAAGCCAGATAGGATTTTGGTAGGGGTGGCGCTGAATCTGTAACTCAGTTTAGGTTATGTTGCTATTAACAATATTGTTTTCCAAACTTGAACAATGGATTACTTTCCATTAATTTATGTTGTCTTTCACATCTTTCAGTGATGTTCTGTAGTTTTCAGTATACAAGTCTTAAGCTGCTTTTGTTCAGTTTCTCCCTAAGTATTTTATGCTTTTTTTGATGGAAATAAAAGTGATACTATTTTAATTCTTAGATTGCTCATTGCAGGTATATAGAAGTACAGTCTATTTTTGTATATTGATCTTATATGTTGTAACCTTGCTAAATCCATTTCTTAGCTTGAATCATTTTATTGTAAATTCCTTAGGATTTTCTATGTGCATGATCATGTCATCAGCTAATGGAGATGATTTTACTCTATCCTTTCTAATATGAATGCCTTTTATTTCTTTTTCTTGCCTAATTGCCCTCACTAGAGCATCCAGTGCAGTGTTGAGGATAAGTGGAGTGAGTAGACAACCTTGTCTTGTTTCTGATCTTGGGAAGAAAGGGTCCAGTCTTTCATCATTAACTACAGTGTTAGCTGTGATTTTTGATAGATGGCCATTCATATTGAAAAAGTTCCCTTCTATACCTTGTCAGATTTTTTTCTGTGTCTATTGAGATTATCATTCCTTTTTATTTCCTTTATTCTGTTAATATGATGTATTCATTTCATTGGTTGATTTTCTTATGGGAGTTTTAATTTCCTGGCCCACGAGACCACAAAGCCAAAGGAGGACCAGTCACAACTTCTCAGTGATTTGTTCTTCCTCCTGCTGCTCTGCTCCCTTTCTACTTTGCACCTCCTTATGGTCTCCTGGAGGTTGGGCATAGCGTAGTTCTGCTTCCCTGTAACTCAAGATAGAGCCCTTGGGGGCCCTAGTTTAATCTCTTTTAAATTTCTGCCCCTTTCACTTTAACAGGATTGCCAAAAACCCTTCAGGACAAAAATCAGTTTCAGCATTCTGTTTATTTCCCTGGGTTTTTATTTTCCATTAGTTTTTAGTTTGTAGTTCTTTATAAGCTTGTCAGTGCTTCGCTTCTTTTTAAGTAGTTTTTAAAACACTGTACATTTTTATTTGTTTTCAGCAGGTTTCTGCTGAGTAACTTGCCATTATTATATAGAGTTATTTGGGTTTTCGTGTGTCCCCACCCTGACCCCCCACCCCCACTTTTACTGCCCTTTAACTCTTGCCTCTGAGCTTCCAGAACTAGAGAAATAGAGATATGACAAGGGCTAATAATCTGTATGTGAGGAGTGACGTTTCTCTTGGTACTCCAGGTTTCTGGGAAAATTCACCATTTTGGTAAAAAGGAGAAAACTATAATTCAGCCTTTGAAGTGACTTGATGTTTCTGTTTTTATAAAACAGCTTTATTCAAGGTATATTTTACATTTTAAGTGTACAAGTGAATGACTTTTAGTAAATTTACTGAATTGTGTAACCATCCCCACAAATAAGTTCTAGAACATTTCCATCACTCCAGTAAGACCCCTTTTATCCCATTTATAGTTAATCCCTTTTTGTACTCCTAGCCCCAGGCAACCGCTATGTATCTAGTCTCTGCATATATACATTTGCTTTTTCTGGACGTTTCATATTAATGGAATCATACAGTACGTGATTTTTGTGTGTGTCTTGCTCTTTTCATTTAGCATAATGTTTCTGTGGTTTGTATTACAGCATGTATTAATATTTTCTTTTTTATTGATGAATACTATTGTGTATAGATAAACTGCATTTTATTTATCCATTCATCAGTTGGTCATTTGGGGTCAATTCAACTTTTTGGTTATTAATTTTAGTTGGCATATGTACACTCCATACTCTAAAGTTACTGCTAGACCTGTCCTGTGTGAGCAATATATTTCCATTCTCCACAGTAGGTCCTGACTCTATGCTAGGAATTGATGTGTATTTCCCAAGAAATTTAGTGGTTGGGCTGGTGGGTGGTCATACTTTGGCTCCTAGTCTGTTTCATATTTGCTTAGTGCCATGTGTTGAATTTTGTGTGATTTATGCCTTTCTCCATTGGCTTTTGTAATTTTCTAACTTTTAATATTTCCCCTGCCCCCAATATCCCAAAAGGGCATATCCCTCTTTTGTTTTGTTCTTGACATTCTTTCCCTCACTTTACAAATCACCTTTTGGTCCCAGCTTACCCATTTGTAGAGTAGTTATATTAGGTGAGTTCTCCAGGCCCTTTCAACCCAAAAGTGGTTTGACTAGGTGAGCATGAACAATCTAGTTTAGGTGAGAACATAGGTAGGGGTGAGAGTGGGGGTTGTGGTGGCAGGTGTGGTTAAGGAAAAGAAGAAACAGGAGCCTAGGAACAGTGAGGAAGCATCTTCAGTTTTAAGTCATTCCATTATGGCCAGGCTGTTTTCATCTACAGTGTGTTATTCTATTGTTCATTTAAGTGGGAACCTGGTGAACTTTTTCTAAGAAGGACATACAGTAAATATTTTAGGCTTTCCAAGCCATACTATCTTCTGTTACTCTCAGCTCTGCGTTTGTAGCACAAAAACTATAGGTCATTTGTAAATAAGTGAACATGGCTGTATTCCAATAAAACTTTATTTACAAAAGGTCCCACTGGTAGTTTGCCAAATGCTAAAACTTTAACAAAAGAATTGTTCTGTATAACTGTGGTAAGGATCAATGCATGTGTTTGTGCAGGAACCTAATAGGTGTGTCAGATGCAGAGGTTCTCACATTGATTTCCAATTATTTGTGCAGTTTGCTGATTATCTTGTGGGTTTTGGGGCAATAGCCCCAAACACCAAAACTGTTAGTGTTTGAAAACTTGGGTGCCATGTGTATAAGAAGAATATATTAAAGCATAATATATTTCACTCTGACTATAAAGTAATTATTAACCAGCAATTGTCATAGGTACAGATGCATATATTTATCCAAGATGAGTTTTGGCTTGCTTCTTTTTTTCAAGAGAGATTTTTCCAGGCATTCTTATTTAAGGGGAACATTTTAAGTGATTGCTTGGCTTGTGGTTTTAACTTCTTTTGAAGTACCTCTGTGGGGAAAACTCCAGTTTGGGTTACTTAAGGTTTATTGTCTAAAACTGAGAAGTAAGGAAAATTCAAGTGGTTGCAGGGTTTAACTATCCCCATAATGATATTCGTAGCTCTTAGGTATACAGTTTGATAATTACTTCAGTTTCTATTATTAAATTTTAATTTTTTATTAAGACTTCATTGTTTTAGATCAGTTCTATATTCATAGCAAAATTTGAAGGTAGAGAGATTTCCCATATACTCCCATCCACACACATACATAGTCTTCCCAGTTATCAATATCCTGCACCAGAAGTGGTACATTGTTACAATTGATGGACCCACATTGACATATCATAATCACCCAACAGCTGCAGTTTACCTTAGGGTCCACCCATGGTGTTCTATATCTGTGCTTTTGAACAAATGTATAATGACATGTATCCATCATTATGGCATCATACAGAGTATATTCACTGCTCTGAAAATCCTCTGTGCTCTCCCTCTCTCCCACTTCTCCCCCTTTCAATTCCTGACAACCACTTTATATTATCTGCATAGTTTTGCTTATTCCAGAATATCATATAGTTAGAATCATATAGTATGCGGCCTTTCCAGATTGGCTTTTTTCATTTGGTAATCTGCATTTAAGGGTCCTCCATGTCTTTTCGTGGCTTGATAGCTCATTTCTTTTTTGTGGTGAATACTTTAACAATGTCTGGATATACCATGGTTTATTTACCCATTTACATACATCTTGGTTGCTTCCAGGTTTTGACAGTTATGAATAAAGCTGCTACAAAAATCCATATGCAGGTTTTTGTGTGGACATGGTTTTCAACTCCTTTTATATTAGCTTTAAGTAAATTAAATGGTATATCACTCCTCTGTTTACTATTATGAAATTATAACAGTTAAAATTAGTAAAAAATTATTCTATACATCTTGTCCTAATGCTGGTTTTATGGTTTGTTTCCATATGTGCTGTCTAAGGAATAAGAGTTTGCCAGATTGCTGTGCCCATGACCTTTTCTTTTTGGTCTCAACTTTTGTGTTACTTGTGAAAGAGTATCAGTATTGCCAACTTGAGGCAGGAACAGCTTCCTCTGAAGTCATTGTGTCATGAAATGCCTCTGCTCCCAGAGAGCTTACAGTGTAGTAAAATGACTATACCATATTAAGTGTATTAAAATCAGTACAGAGTTTTATAAGAAAATTATAATTGATATTTTTTTCACCATTTAAATCAAAGAAAATGATTTGATACTGTGGCATTTTGACTGGAAAATGACAAAAGTTTTTTGTTTTTTAAACCGAATACCCAAAATTGTGTATTTTTATCTTAATTCTGTCTTTGGTATACATGGCGTATATCTTTTATGTCATTGAGGTAATGATATATGTATCATTAATTACATATTTTTTGATGCTTCTGTTTTAGAAATATTTCTCAGTTTTCTAATGTGATATGAAGTATGTGTGTAAAGTACTTCTGAAATTCATGTGGTAGGGCTGAGTAGGTAAATATTTTACCTGAATATCTGTCCAGTATTCTACATAGTCTAGAAAAAGTTACTTAAAATAATTCATGGTATATTTTTTTAATTGACCTGATTTAGAATATTTATTTTAATGTTAGCTGTATCTGTCACTATAGACACTATTTTCAATTTAATCTCCCTAAGATTGGATGGACTGTATGTGTGTATATAGAGCAACAAGTCTCCCCACTTCCAACTTTTGCATATGATAAACCATAGCAAAACATTTTTAACCTCTGGGAGTTGAAGCCCTAGTGTTTTTAGGTTTCCTATCTATGTACTTTTGGGAGTGTATGGATCGTTGACATGAAAACAGTGAGTTTTCCTCTGGTTTTTTGGTTAATACTGAACTCCTTCTCTTTTTAGCTGTGCGATCAGAGAAGAAGCGCCTTAGGAAGCCAAGCAAGTGGCTTCTTGAGTATACTGAAGAATATGATCAGATATTTGCTCCTAAGAAAAAACAAAAGAAGGTACAGGAACAGGTACACAAGGTATGTTCCAACATTTTCATCGATCCTTTTAAGATATTGCAGTTTTTGCCTTCAATATCATATTTTGTCTTCATGGGACAATAATTTCCTTAACTGGAATCTTGCTTGTTCAGTTTTTTATCTCCAGTTTCTGGCCCAGTACTTACCATATTATTTATACAGGAAATGTTTAAATGAGTCTACGTACTGTGTGTATATAGTGTGTGTGTCTATCTCCCACTTTGCTTTCAAAGTGTATTTAATGATTTAAGGATATTGTTATAAAATGTTTGTTAAAAAACATAGGATAAATGCAGGATGAATAGTAAAAAATTTATAGTATATGATCCTAACTTTTTAAACAAATGTTATGATACCTTATTTGCTTTACTTTAAAATTCAGTTAGAGACATTTTGACTTCCTATCCCTAAATAATATGCATCTCTAAAAAAATAGAACATTTTCCTTTGTAACTAATTTAATATTCTCACATATAATAAAATCAGTTAACCTAATAACAAATCCATATTCAGATTTCCTCACTTGTCCCCTAACCTTTATATTTAGCTTATTCAAACCAGGATCCAGTCTAGGACTACTCATTATATCTGGTTGTTATATTTCTTAAATCTCTTAAAATCTAGAACAGCCCCCTTTTTTCATGACTCTACTTATCTAAGCACTAACAATTGGATAGATTCAAGGTAAACGTTCTTAGTGAAATTATATTGTATGACATTAGAAGGTATTTAACATCCAGTTGTCCGTAGTAGTGACTGATTCCTTTAAGTTATATTTTACCCCTTTTGATCAGGAAGCACATATTTGGAATTACTTTGGCTCCAAGACAATGTCCTGTTACCCATCAGTTACTTCCCTAAATCAGTTGAAAATCCTTGCCTATATCAGTAATTTCATTGGGGGTACAAAATTAAGACTTCTCAGGTTTTATTTTATTATTTATTATTTCTTCTACTTTTATTAGCTGACAATCTCTTCCAATAACTGAATCGTCTTACTATTCTGAAATACATGAAAGACTAAGTACTTTTATTTCTTTAACTTAACCATTAACTTACATTGAGTTCATTATAAGCTGCTTAATTGGTGACGTGTTAGGGAATCTACCTTTCTTTGTATTATCACTATGGCCTTAATGAAGTTATATAGCTTCAGTGCATCTCAATCAAGTGCTATTTTTTCCCTTTTTAAAAAATTACAGTAAAATATATATAAAATAAAATTTATAATCTTAGCCATTTTTAAGTATACAGTTCTGTGGTATTAAGTACATTTACATGGTTGTGCAACCATCACCACCATCTATCATCTCCAGAACTTTTTCATATTCCAAAACTGAAACTCTGTACCTATTAAAAAACAATTTCTCATTTCCCCTTTTCACCAGCTCTTGGCAACCACCATTCCATTTTGTGTCTCAGTGAATTTTACTATTCTAGGTACCTCATAAGTGGAATCATACAATATTTGTCCTTTTTGTGTCTGGCTTATTTCATTTATCATAATGTCGTCAAGGTTCATGTAGGATGTAGGCTATAGCATGTGTCAGAATTTCATTCTTTCTGACACCCAAATTAAAACAACTTTGGCCTATGGATTCTGTTTTTGTTTTTTGCTCTTAGGTAAGTTCCCACTCTGAAGAAGAAAGCCTTTTAGCCCGATGTCGATCTAGTTCTCATAACAAGCAGGTGGATGAGAATTCTTTGATTTCAACCAAAGAAGAGCCTCCAGTTCTTGAAAGAGAGGCTCCGTTTTTGGAAGGGCCCTTGGCTCAGTCAGAACTTGGAGGTGGACATGCTGAATTGCCACAGCTGACCTTGTCTGTGCCTGTAGCTCCAGAAGTCTCTCCACGGCCTGCCCTTGAGTCTGAGGAATTGCTAGTTAAAACATCAGGTAAGATGGGGATGGGGGTCTCAGTATGTAAGTACATATGGTTAGAGGAAGTAGGATCTCTTAGTATGTTTTGATGGAAAGCCAGTAGTGTATCTATACAACAAACTACCTACTTTTTTCCTGGGAAAACCAAAAAATTCTGGCTAATTGGATGTAATTACTAACCATAAATTGGTTGTACACTGTCAAGAAGATGTTTTCAAAAACTATCCTCCTCATTCCATTGTTGCTCTTCATGATTGTTGATGAACATCAACACGCAGGATAAGAGTTTTGGGGAGAGGCACCACACGCTAATGGAGTAAGCACATAAAACTTAGGCTTCAGCTACTGGCTTCACCAATCATTGTGTTTACTTGGGAGTTGTTCAGTCTCTTTGTTTCCTCACGTATAAAATGGACATATGTAATAATATAAAATGTTATTTACCTGACACATAGTAAACAACTAAGTATACCAATACTGCTTTTTACCTTATCATTTTTTTATGTCACCTGGTGAGAGATGGATCTAAATATCCTGTCTCTAATTCACCTTTTGACTATTGTAATCAGCTAAGGAAAATTTGGGGTATAACTTCTTTACATTCCTAACGATGGCTTGTGATGTTACTCCTTAACAAAAAATATCCCAATTGTGTTTAAGTAAGGCAGAATCAAAAATACTTTTTAAAGAATAATAATGATAGTTACTGTTTCATTACCTATTATTATTAAACTTTTTTTCATTTTTCTTATTTTTCTTTTTTCTTTCTCTTTCCCTTTCTCTTTTTCTTCTTCCTCTTTGTTTCTCTTTCTCTGCCTCTCTGTTACCAAACTTTCTAATATAATTCTTGAGAGCAATCCTGCAAAGTAAAGAAATGTCATTTATTTAGGAACAAACAAAAATTCTATTTCTGGTCCATTTATGCCTAGAATTCTGATTCTACTTCACTTTAGTACTACTGTCCTAACCACCAATTAATTGCTATAAAGGCAGTTCTGCCCTTTTGATTTCTCTCTTAGTTCTTTTGATATATAATATATATGTTGACATAAGAACCTCTTCATGATAGTTTGTGTCTGTATTGAGATCTATTGTTTTATGTTAACTCATATTTTTAAGTAAATTTCTACTCCTTCCCATAAGATGATGTGAAAAACAAAATATGGCAACTCATTTTTTTCATGGTATACAGATTTTTTTTTTAATTAGCTTGTGCCATTTCTAAATCATCTAATGAAAAGATACATGCATTTCAGGAAATTATGAAAGTAAGCGTCAGAGAAAACCAACTAAGAAACTTCTTGAATCCAATGATTTAGACCCTGGATTTATGCCCAAGAAAGGGGATCTTGGCCTTTCTAGAAAGGTATGTTATTTTAATCAATTCTAAAGTAGAGTTAAACCCAGGAAATACGGGATTTTAAAAATAGACCTTTTAGTAATACAACAGTGATAGGAAATTACAGAATGTTAGTGTACTTTGTCAGTCTGAGAGATGAGTCTAACTATGGGAATGTCCTGTCTCTTTGTCAGCATACACTGTCAATCTGAGAACCTGTAGTAAAAGACTTCTTTTGGCATCTGTATGGACCTGTGTATGTGTTTTATATTTTCTTTTCAAATGAAAATGTAAAAAGCTTTTAAAATTGAGAGTACAATTTGTGTTTGTTACTTATTTTGTGGGCTCAAACCCTCTTACCTGATTTCTACTTCACCTCTGTCTCTATAAGCCACTAACCTACTCTATCCCATTGCCCTGCCTGCATAACATCTCAGAAAAGGTCCAGTTCAGCTATAATCCAGGCAGAAACATTTGAACTTAAGTTTTTGAGTTGCAAACTTGGTATCATTAGCCACAAAAGCATCATTAAATAGTAAATGGAAATAGAAATTTATTTTCTAATTCTATAATGGATAGTAGCTGGATATTAATTCCTTAGGAAACATCCTGCTTCCCTTATGTGTAATTGAATAACTCAGGGTAAATGTTAGAAATTTACTTGTAGGATGGAAAGATTTCCTATTTAAATTTTTTCTTCTTTAAAGAAAAAAATACAGATTGTATCACTACAAATAATTTTTTTTTATTTTTTTTTTCCTTAGCTCATGCAGACTTTTTTAATCCTGTAGATTTTTTGTTAGATATACACCCATCTGGATTAGCATCAGCATGTAAAATTTAATTTATGTTTTCATGCCTTACTTAAAAAGCTGCATTATATGACTAACATCTTACTATGTTGATAGTGACTGCAATGGAGGGGGTAAGGACTTGATAATATGGGTGAATGTTGAACCACTGTGTTGTGTATTTGAAACCATCATAAGATTGTATATCAATGATACTTTAATTAAAAAAAATCTTCCTTCCCCTAAAAAAATTAATGAAATAAAAAGCTGCAATATATTCTTTTCTGTTGTTGTTATTATCATTAATCTACAATTACATGAAGAACATTATGTTTACTAGGCTCTCCCCTTCACCAGGTCCCCCCACAAACCCCATTACAGTCACTGTCCATCAGTGTAGTAAGATGCTGTAGAATCACTACTTGTCTTCTCTGTGTTGAACAGCCCTCCCCATTCCCCGTGCCACATTACACATGCTAATCGTAATGCCCCCTTTCCTTTTCCCCCGTCCTTATCCCTCCCTTCTCACCCATCCTCCCCAGTCCCTTTCCCTTTGGTAACTGTTAGTCCATTCTTGGGATCTGTGATTCTGCTGCTGTTTTGTTCCTTCAGTTTTTCTTTGTTCTTTATATTCTTTAATTCTTTTATTCTGTTCAAAGCAGTCTTGCGACATGAACTGCAGTTATTCTGAGGCTCATCTCCTGTCCTCTGAACTTTCTCTGTGGTTGATCATCATCTTCAGTGACAATATCATGTCTCCAACTTGCCATCCTCACTATAGATTACATTCTTGTAAAGGCTGTAATAAATTCCTATAGTGCTTTTTCTCCTAGATTTGTCAAAATCAAATCTTAGCCACTTTGCAAGATTGTTGGAAGAGGTATATGGGAACAGCTAGGGGAACTGGGATTCAGTTTGAGAAGAAAGTAAGAATTTGGGTCAGATAAGTGAATGATTTTTCCCCATTTTACTGAAATATAGCTGACATATGTAAGTGAATGATTTGAAGGAATAAGGTGAGTCCTCGATGTTGAGATTGGATTACTTAAAAAATAGTATTAGTTTGTATAATTTTGCTCTATCAAATGTAGTTTTCTAATCTAAAATGTGACTTTTCCATATTTGTGGGTTAATTTTTTTCCTAAGGGAATAATAATCATGATTTAATTAATATGCTTACTTTTAATTTATGTAGGTTAATGTATCCCAGAATTTTCTTTTTTAAAATTGAGATGTACTTTACACAATAAAATGCACTGATCTTAATTGTTCTTTTTGATGGCTCTAAACAATTATATGTATCATGTAAGTATGCCCTAATTAGGTATGCTCTATATCCATCAACCTTGAAATTTCTTATCCTCTTTTCAGTCAATTCACCATTCTTATCTTTTCCAGAGGCATTGCTTTCTTAACTTCTCTCGCCATAGATTAATTTTGCGTATTATTATTATTACTACTTTTTTTGAAACAGAGTAAAAGCTTTATTTAAAGTTACTTAGAGAGAAAGAAGTGCAGGCGACCTCAGAGAGAAGAGCACCCTGAAAGGTTGGGGTTCCCTCTTCTAAGGATTTTTCAGGAATGTGACAAAGGCTAGGGTGTGGGTTTGTTAAGTGGTCTCAACTATCTTTGATGAGGCATTAAGTTTCTTACCAGTCAGTCCTCTAGGTAAATCTGCAAAATTAGCTTATCAATCAAGACTGTCTGCCCTTCCTCCAAGGGGGGCAGAGTTATTTGTTTGCTAAAGAGTATGGTAAGAATCTTTCTTCTTAAACTCCCTGGGTTTTTTTCAAAATGCAATTTTGGCTTTAAGGTGGGATCTCTTTTGTCTTTATTATGCTTTTTATAGGTGGGCCTTTTAGTAGGCTACAGTAAATCTTAAAATGATCTAATTGACACAGTGAAGACATGGGCTGTGTTCAGATACTTTTCTTTATCTGGGGAATATTCAAACGTTCAAGGCCAAGTTGCTCTTGCCTTTTGAGCTCTAACTGATTGACTTTAACTCTGAGTCTTCTGGCTTTCTAGTTTTAACTGGTTAACTCTGAGTCCTTTCTAGTGGGCTTTACTGACCTTGTTGTTCTCTTTTCACCCGACTCATATCTATCTTCCTGCCTAACATTCCCCCCTTAAGCAGTTGGGACCCAAGTCATTGGGGCTAGGGGTGATGACCACTCTGGCTACTTCCTGCTTGTGAGGGACAGTGTAGTTATTTGGGTCCCCCTGCTTGCTGACTGTCGGGATGGTGGAGATTAGGACAGTAAGGGCACCCAGTTAGGGGTTTAGCTGCTTGCTGTTTGGTTTGTTGAGGCAAGGAGGACTCAGACTGGCTGTAGGGGTGTCCATCAAGTGGTCCTATGAGGTTGGAGGTGTTGTCATTGGAAGGTACAGGTTGGAATCCTTGTCTTATGACCATTTGCAGTTTGATTGCTTCTAGACAAGAAGACACAAATTGGATTAGGAGCTTAAGTAAGCAGGGTCTGAATATGAGAGCTAATACTATTACTCCAAGGAGGGGGATGAAAGGTGCTAGCCAGGGCCACACCCACCCTGTGAGGAATTTAAAGATTTGGTTTAGTCAGGAGAGGAACTAATATAATAAGGTGAGGGTTAATAATAGTAATGATGGCATGTTTAAGGCAATTTTCTTTTTAAGGTTTAAACCTAACAAGGGTAGAAATATTGCTGGCTAAAGGAAAGGGATTTCACAATAGCACAGGAAATGAATAATAAGTCCCACCCTCACAAGGATGCCCAGAAAGAGTTAAGGAACTGGAGTTTCGGAGCACTTATCTTAGGTGGCTGTCCCTTGAAGAGATATTTTAGATTTTCTACAGTCTTACAGGTTTAGCTGGATTCTTGGGTCTCATGATTTTGCACTGCTGGATTTTTCCACCGCTTTACACAAGAAAGATGGAGCCACAGCAGGCAACTTTAGGGACCTTGACAGCTGAGGGGTAGACATAAGAACTGGGTAGAGTCCTTCCCAAATAGGCTGCAATTGAGATTGGGGCGACCTGTATTAGATATATAGGTGTGGCATATTCTGATAAGGCACTGGCCTCAGGAAGTTGGCCGACTTATCAGTTGGTAGGGGCTTGAATTTCCAGGACAACAGGACTTTAATCTCAAGGGACTGTAGTCTGGAAGAAATAAATTTAGTTAAGAGGTTTAGTAAGCATGGTTTACACAGTGGGGCTAGTAAAAGCATTAGGAGTTTAGCAGAGGGTAGTAGCCAGGATGCCCAGTTCTAAAAGTGGAACTGAACTCCTTATGATTCTGAGAGCCTCTGATGAATCTGAGAGACTTGATCAGCTAGTTTCTTTGCTGTTCACTGCTTGTCAGAGGTTGAAATCCTGTCTGAGCAACATCTGGAGTTGGACTTTCCATTCTGTAAGAACAAACGACAAGGAGATTAAGAAAGCATGGCCAAATACAAGGATTAGAATAGTAAGATTTTTAACTGAGATGGGAGAAAACTGGGAACATTTGGAGAGTTATAGATAGCTATTTAAGGAAACTAGAGTTTAGGATTTAGTTTATTTCATAATGACTAGTATTAGAATCTAGTATAGATAAAGCTGTATCATTGAAACAATACTTTTCTCTCTAAAGTTACCCACATTTTTATTAGATGTAACCATATTAAGAAAATAAGTTCAGCTTCAGAACACTTGGCTTGATTATTTACATAAGTGCAGCAAGAAAAGCAATTGATCACATGGGATCTTTTAAATGTGCTCTGCTGGAACTTTTCACAAGGAATTTCAGATTGAGCTTTTAAAGGCCTCTTGAGGCCAGGAAAGTCAAGCCAGATTTACCATCAGGTTTTGCCTGCAGTTCCTATAGATTTGGGTGAATTTTTCTCTTGAGGTCCCCAAAACATTCTGAGGTTCCTGCACTGCCAGACAGTGACCTTCCTTACTCATCTGGTAAGGCTGCTGGGAACCTGGTAATAAGCAAGGTACCAGGCCAGTTCTTCCAAGGGGCTTTGTTGGCTCCATAAAGTCAGTCTTAGTTCCTTAAAGCTGTCTGATCATATCTGAGTGTATGTATGTGTCTCAAATGACATTCCAGTCAAAGCCTTGACAATAACCAGTGTTTTCAGTTGTGTCCTGTTACAAGGAGAGCAGATTCTTATTGAACTTATGCAAATAATAACATTGCCATAAAATATGAAAGTAGTTACTGAGAGTTTCTAAATTCTGGAGGGATCAAATAGAAAGAGAAAGATAA